CAGCTCCAAGTACAAGAGACAGAAAATTACAATGATTAAACAAGGCAGAACTATTTCTCTCTAAAAGTTGGGAAGTAGGCTGTCCAGGGCTTCATGGCAGTTCTATCTCACAGTCCTCAGGGACTTAGATCCTCTCCAGCCCACTGTTTGAGGAAGTAGGGTGGATATGCCATTTGTCCTTTTAAGTTTTCTGGAAGCTGCACAACACCTCTACTTAAAATACTGGTCAGAATTTTGTCATGTGGCTCTCAGCTGCAAGGAGGCTGAGAAGTGTAGTGTTCTTTGTGAGGCTCTGTACTTAAAAACTGGATGTTTTAGTAGAGTGGAAGATGGGAAGAATGGATGCTGAATATAGGTCTTTGCAAAGAACACATCAGATTAATAACATGTAATACTAATAATATGTTAACAATATGCAATATATAATATTATTAATGATGGAAGGTTTAACCATTGTAACATAACAGTTGAGTCAAACCACATGATCTTAGGTAATGTTGGTTGTCAGCCATTTTGGAAATATGATTGGGTAAATGTTTTTAAATGACGTAGGTTATAAAGTCATTACATGAAGAAAATTAAATTGGACCTTTTAAAAGGATTTTGAATTCATCATTTTTAAATACACAGCTGACCCTTGAACGACGTGGAGTTGGGATGCTGACCTTCCCTCTCTCCTGAACAGTTGAAAATCTACATATAATTTTTGACTCTTATTAGTAGCTTAACTACTAATAGACTACTATTGACCAGAGAGGCCTTACTGTAATATAAACAGTCAATTACATATTTTTATGGGTTATATACTGTATTCTTACAATAAACTAAGCTAGAGAAAACATTAAGAAAAGCATAAGGCAGAGATAATACATTTACAATATTTATTGGGCGGGAAAAAACCCACATGTAAATGGATCTGTGCATTTCAAACCTGTGTTGTTCAAGGGTCAACTGTGTGACATTTTTGCAGTGGCTGTACTAATCATATGGAAATCTGACCAGCATCATAGAAAGCAACAATTTCTTAATTTTCCCCCTCCTTCTACCCTATTTTCTTTTAAATCTGTTCATAAGTCTTTTTCTTTCTTTTTTTTTTTTATATTTTATTGATTCTTTACAGAGAGGAAGGGAGAGAGATAGAGAGAGTTAGAAACATCGATGAGAGAGAAACATCGATCAGCTGCCTCCTGCACATCTCCCACTGGGGATGTGCCCGCAACCCAGGTACATGCCCTTGACCGGAATCGAACCTGGGACCTTTCAGTCCGCAGGCTGACGCTCTATCCACTGAGCCAAACCGGTTTCGGCAACATAAGTCTTTTTCTAAAGTACACAGATTAAGTATTGTTCAAGGTGATAGTTTAGGCCCTGGCCAGTGTGTCTCAATTGATTAAGCGTCATCCCATGCACTGAGAGGTTGCTTGTTTGATTCCTGATCAAGGTTCATGCCCAGGTTGTGGGCTCCATCCCCAGTAGGGGGTGGGCAGGAGGAAGCCGATTAATGTTTGTCTCTCTTCCTCTTCCTTCCTCTGTCTCTAAAAAAACCAATAAAAACTTTTTTTTAAAAAAACATGATTGCTTAGGATTCATGAATTATGAGAAATGTTTCTGAAACATGGTTTGAACTCACTTCCTTACTATCCTTCACCACAATACATGTAAACTAGCTTGGCACAGAGTAGTCACTTAATCCTAAAGTAAAGTATTTTATTCTGTGATAATCAACATGGGTTCGCAGATTTGTAAGAGATAAATTGAGCTTTGGATGGACTGTCTATGCAAAAAGGAAAAAATCACGTGTGTCAAAAAAAATTAGGAACCTAAAATTATCTTTTAGGATGTTAAATTTTATCAGTAAAATGAAGGTTAAATGCATTTTACCATTCCTTGATTTGGTGAAAAGTAGGAGTAAGCTTTTGATAGGATACATTTTAGCATAAAGTACAGGAGGTTAATGAAGTAGTCAGGGTTGAAATTGTTGGTTTACTAAACACAGTATATATAATTTGGCCTAAAAAGTAAGGGCCTCAAGAAATAAACCACAGTCCCTTACCATTGTTCAACTGAAAACAACAACAACAACAAAACACACAAACAATAACACAATGTTGAACTTAAGTTTGCACAGACTTTGTCAATATGTTACAAGTACTTTCTCCATCTATAATTTCTTAAATACTTATTTATTACCTGTCTCCTTTTCAGACCCTTCAGTCCCTGGCTGACGCTCCATCCACTGAGCCAAACCAGCTAGGGCTACAATATTTCTTCTAGATAAAAAGCTCTGGAAAATACAGACTCTGGAAATTTAGGTAGTTTGCCCAAAGACACATAAATAATGGAATCGGAATTTGGACTCAAGGTAGGCTGACTCCTGAGCCCTTAGTTTTAGCTGTCATTTTATATCATTCTATACTATATAATAAAAGCCCAGCGACTAAACAGTGGAACAACCAGTTGACTAGTCGCTATGATGCATGCTGACCACCAGGGGGCAGACGCTCAATGCAGGAGCTGCCCCCTGGTGATCAGTGTGCTCCCACAGTGGGAGTGCCACTTGGCTGACTGGGATGAACGGTGCACAGCCGCTCAGAGGGCGGGTCCACAGCTGCTAGGCTGACCAGGATGAGCCCCGCACCAGTGCATGAATCCCGTGCACCAGGCCTCTAGTTGTTTTATATCCTGTTAATTTCTACATTTAAGTTGGCTTGCCTACACCTTACTGCCTCCTGTATTTTCTGATTAAAGTGTCTGTGTGGCCCTAGCTGGTTTGGTTCAGTGGATAAAGTGTCAGCCTGCGGACTGAAGGGTCCCAGGTTCGATTCTGGTCAAGGGCATATGCCTGGTTGTGGGCTTGATCCCCAGTAGGGGACGTGCAGGAGGCAGCCAGTCAATAATTCTCTCTCATCATTTATGTTTCTATCACTCTCTCCCTCTCCCTTCCTCTCTGAATCAATAAAAATGTATTTTTTAAAAAGTCATTAACTTGTTTAAAAAAAATAGAGAGTGTGTGTGTGTGTGAATCCCCCCATTGTGTTTTATAATTTTGCCATTCTCAGTCTTGTGATATAATAGAATTTATTTCAGTGAAATTATTTACAGTCGAAAGAAAGTGGAAGGAAACAGTATGTTTATAACACAGTCCCTGCCTTCAAGGACCTTGTTTTCTGCTTAGGAAAGACCTAAGTATGGAAATTAACTTACAACAAGAAACAAGATAGACCTGCTTAAGTCTCATTAGGTGAATTTATTTATACATTGGATACTTTGGAATAAGTTAAAATTTCCCATAAAAAATATTTTTGGGTTGGGGGGGGAGGGTGTGGGAAAGAAAAAAACAGAAGATAGAATATTAGGGTATTGTTACTATAGTGGTTTTATTTTCAGATATTTCACAAATATCAAGATGATATTTTTTATTTGGTTATCTGGAGGTAGTTAACATCATTTTTTGTATGTCAAAATATTTGCATGTCTTTAATTTGACCTTAAACCATTTTATATATTTTAAAATACAATTATGTAAATTGTTAGCATATTTTAGTATCTTGGTATAGCTATATCTGGGTTATAGGTTTTTTTCATAAGTTGATATTTAATGGTTTTTGTTCTTAAATTCTTGCATACTTATCTGTAGCATGCTAGGGTGTTTTTTTGTTTGTTTGTTTTCTCCATGTCTTGGTAAATAAACTGGCTTAAATTAATGTGGTAAGACTAGCCCTGAAATACCCATTTAAAAATAACTTGTTTGGGAATATTATCACAACAAATAGTATATTCCTTTGTTATCCAAACCTTTCACAACCATTATAGGTTGCAAAGATCTTGAGAGAGAGAGAGAGAGAGAGAGAGAGAGAGAGAGTGTGTGTGTGTGTGTGTACACATACACTCAGTGGAAGCAGACTAGGTTGGAAAGAGCATGTGTTTGAAATTAGGCACAACTTTACTAATTTGTATGACTTTGGATAAAACATTTAATTTCTGAGTCTGTTTTTTCCTGTATAATATGAGAATGTAGCAAGGTTAATGTGCTGACAAAGTACAGCACCCTAGCACATCATAAATGTTCAGAATAACTATTATGTTTATTAATAAAAATGCTAGTTGATAGAAGAAAAAAGATTGAAAGGGAAGTACGTTATTGCGTTTATAATTTTTCTGTTGAGAAATAACCCCATTGGTTGAGTAAACAGAAATGGGGGAAGAAAGCCAACTATAAATTGATAGTTTTTGAGACTTATTTGTAGCTTTGGGAATATTTTATAGGGGCGGGAGATTTTTTGCTTTTTTTGTGTTACCCTTTGCCTTTAACATAGATAATTCTGTACCAGGGACTTGAAACAATAGTTTTATGTTTTTAACAGATTTTAAGACTTTATTCCATTTCCAGATGGGAAGATAGAATTATTCTATTTCTTCGGTGAAAATTCATCTGATCCATAGAATTTTAGAATTAGGATTTCTAACTTAAGAAATTTTTTTTCTTTAAAAATATGACTTGATTAAATTCCACAATATAAAAATTGTTAGTAAACGTTAAATTTCTTTTGTTTCAACTTCTTTGCACTTTTGAAAATAACATACATCTGGTAGATTTTAAATGGTCTTGGTAAAAAAATAAGAATAAAACCTTAGGTTCGTGGTTTTTATATGTTCATAAAATATTTCTCCTTCATTTCTAATTTTCTTATTTAGGTTCACTGAAGACACTCTTAATGCAGCTGTCATTATGGGGTTAAACATTTGCTTTATTGTAACACACGAAAACAGTTAAGCTGTCTAAAATTGTTTACTTGCTAAAACCAGTGTTAGTCAGCAGAGGCAGTACACCAGATTTCCTTGTGGCTTTTAGTGGAAAATGTTAAAAGCGCACTCATTTTTCAGTTATAGAATTTTTCAGTTTGATCTGGATTAGTCACAGAACTGGCATGAACCTTCTAATTGTGAAGGCAGTCCAAGTGCACTGTTTTTTCTAATGCTAGAGGAAGTTACATCTCGAGCAGTAGCTCAGATCTCTGGTAAGTGTAACATGTGAGCATTACTAGGCATTTCATTCTGCGGTGCTGCAGTCTTTGCTGTTCAGATTGTTGCTCAGTTGGAATGCTTCTGTGGGGCCAATCCTGAAGTTCTATAGAAATTGTTTAAGGACCTACTCGTTTGGAGGTGTCAGTGGCGTTTTGCAAGATCATCTGAGTACCAGGGAAGCGTCTGAAATCTACTGAAAAGGATAACTGTAACGGTTTTCACAGTGGAAGGAAACTGTATTGGCACCGAGGCAGATGATTGAATAAAGTAGTTGGCTCAAAGAAGATGCACAGTCTGCTGTTTTTTCCTCTGAATGAAGACTATTTAGTGGAAGCTGTATTCATGTGGAGATCAAAGGAAACACTGGAATGATAAACTACTGGGTTTTTTTCTCTCTCTCTCTTTTTTAAATGAAAAGCCTGAAGCAGTAATTTGAGCTCAAATGTCTTCTGATTCCTTCTCGGCCTGCCTGTTCTATTAGGATTCCCGCTAGCACCATTTCTGCCTGGTGCCTGTGCCCTTTTGCTGGAGCAGCCACAGACAACTGCCTGATGAAGAAAGAATGAACGCTCTGCCTTGCTTACGCTTTCGATGGGAATAAAGCTATCTGTGTTTCCTCTATTATATGGAATATCTGGATTAATCAAGCTGTATTCTAGTACCAAGAGTCCTATTGTCTCTTGTGATCTGACTCATCGCATGTAAATGTACTGCAGCTTTGCTATTAATGCAGAGTGTTGTGTTTTTTTCTTTCCCAAACAGAAAAAATTGTCAACCTCTGAGCTGCATTTAAAAAATTTGTGCTGCGCTCTAGATATTTTTTCTTTTCTTTTTCTGGATAGTGTCTGCATTAAGCCAGTGAAGCTGAAGAAATGAAGACAAATTAGAAGTGGAAACAGAATAATGAGAGTTTAATTTTAATTTTCAATTATAAGCAAGCCAGCTACTGGTAACTATATGACCTTGCAGGCAAGAGTGGGTATAACTGTAATTATCTCTGTCACAGCAGTTGTTTCTCATTTCATTCTGCATTGCGTGGTGGTGTCACCCAAAACAATGATCTTTTTATGCAAGTAAATATCTATGAGACAGAGCAATATGACTATTTTGGTAGAGGAAAAATATTTTTAAATGAGCTTGTACTCATTTTTAGTTAATTGACATGTTGATGTGAAATTTCTTTTAAGTATTGCAATCACCCAACAGAAAATAACTGAATCTTGTTGGTTTTAGGAAGTTATAAGTTATGTAGTCATAATTTTAAACTTCAGTTTTTCCGGTAGTACTTATTAACTTTTAAAAAACCAGCTGCGCTGTTCAGAGAATGATTCTAAGTGTCATACAGAAGAGGAGGAAAAACTACTTGTGCTCTTCCAACTGTGACTTTTATCACATAGCTGGGAATCTAGTGTTTTAAAAGAGCGAATGAGTCGAGTGTGTATTGTTGTTTTGGAGGAGGTAGAAGATGAATCTCCTGCATTCATTTCTAAATTGCCACAGGAAAATAAATCCCTACATGCTCCATCTTCTGGAAATGTATTGGTAAGATATGAGAGTTTATATGTTTACTGTATTCTACTGAACTAGTAGAATAAATTTTATTTTTTAAGAATAAAGTTAGTTTCTACTAGTTTCATTAAAAACCCAAATAAAAGCAATGTAAATGTATAAGTATGCAATATTGTATATAAAATGCACACATCTCTGATTTTTACTTTTTCAGATGTTTAGATAACATTTTAGATTTTATTTGCTATCTCTTAATCTCTTTAAAAGACTTTAAAAAATAATTGAGAATAGTAGTTGTGGCAACCACGTTTCTGTTTTCATTTTGTGGTTTTAAAACTGATGTAATAAGAATGAAGAGCTTTATATTTTAGGAAAGGTTGACTACTGCCAGCAACACCGAGGCATGGTCTTTTCTGTAATGAATTTTATGTATTTACATGCAAGACTTTTTATAGGAAAAGACTCAGACTTTATTCTTAACCTTATTTTTAATGTTGTTGTCAGTTGGCTTCTTATTTGACTGGTATAATATGATATCTTATCAGAGTGGCCATGTCGTTGATTGAGAAATTGTTATATTTAGACATGCACGTGTTTGCCTCTTTATCAGGTATACAATTATTTTTGGTCTCCGAATAGTAGTGATTTTCATCAATTGGCAGCTTTTCTTTCTTTAGATTTATATCTTTATACATGTAATTGCTGACCCATGCAAGTACTTTGATGCCACAAACAGAACTTTTCAAAGAGGCCTTCTTTGCTGAGCCTCAAACTTGTCAAACTACTTGTTTGACAAGTTGAGTCCAAAAAGTAGAGGTTGAGATTTCACCCTTGTATTTGGCAGTAACTTTCTTTTTCTCATGTATGTAAATAAAAGGCTTGCGTTTGTTATCATATCACCTAGTTTTGGTAATTTTGAATTGATTTTTAAAAATTAGGTCTTCCCACCCACCTCCACAAGGAGGAATCCTGTATTTTCATGTGATTTGACTTCATGAAACTTTTGGTTAATATAAAAAACCAAGTGATTATTGTTGCTTTAGGGAAGAAAATTTTTAGATTGCAAAGTTATATGGAGCCCTGGCCGGGTGGCTCAGTTGATGGGAGCTTTGTCCCATGCACCGAAAGGTTTTGGGTTCGAGCCCCAGTCGGGGTTCGTATGGGAAGCAACCAATCTATGTTTCTCTTTCACATTGATGTTTCTCCCTGTCTGTCTCTCTCTGTCTGCCTGTCCCTCCCTCCCTCCCTCCCTCCCTCTCTGTTCCTTTCCTTCTCTCCCCTTCCCCCTCCCCCCTTCCTCTCTCTAAAAAAAATCAATAAAAACATATCCTCGGGTGACTATTAAAAAATAATTTTAAAAGTTATGTGGAAATATCTTTAGAATCATCCATGTGCTGTGATTAATGTTGTTATTACTCTCTTATATTTTAGCCATCACTGGTGCAAGCTATATTTAATGGAGATCCTGATGAAGTTCGAGCACTAATATTTAAGAAAGAAGATGTTAACTTTCAGGTAAAACAATTTATTCACTGATACATGCCTTTTAGCCTACTTTTAAAACCTTTTTCCTGGAGTTATGATTTTTGTTAAAAAGACATAACAATTCTGTAACAGTTGTTTTAAATGAGATTAAGAAGCATCTTGGGGCAAAAAAGGAAGGGACTGGGCATGTATTCAGAGTAATGACTAAAATACAAGAGAATTAGGAGCCTGTGAAGAGCCTTTGTTCCCCTGGCTTTTTACTTTGAAATTTTTCACAGAAAAGTTGAAAAAATACTCTGAATATATTTTGCCACATTTGCTTTATCCAATTTACACAGATTATATATTTTTTTTACATGTACATACATATATTTTTTTCTTCTACTGAATCCCATTTGAAAGTAAGTTGTAGACATCTTGACACTTCACTGTTCATTTCTTATATGTATTTCAAATGAGGGTTCTTTTTTGTGAACTTGAAATAAAGACATTTTTATTAAGTTTATAATACATCTAACTAGATTATAAGATCAGATTTTTCTGTAAATAATTCTGGTAAACCATACACAAAGACTCATCTGTTTGAGTCTCTCAGTAAAATAAAGAAAGATACATTGTTTGAAAAGTCTCCAAATTTAAAGATATAGTGGATTTTACATTCAGGACTGGCATAAGGGAGAGTTTTAGAAAAAAACAGGTATGTGAATAAATGTCCTCTCTGTGTATGTTTTCCAATAGCCAGTAGTTTCTTTAATTTACTAAACAGAGGCTGAAAATAGATAATCTATATATATAAAAGCCTAAGCAGCTGTTATGACTGGACGACCAGCTAGTAGCTATGAAGTGCACTGACCACCAGGGGGCAGACGCTCAATGCAGGAGCTGCCCCCTGGTGGTCAGTGCACTCCCACAGTCAACCTCCCACAGGCAGCCAACCTCTCCTGATTGCTCCCCCTGGCCGGCCAACCTTCCATGGCCTCCCCCCCCCCCCACCCCCGGCTGGCTGGTCCCAATCGGCCCAGATCGGGACTGGGGGCAAGACAGCCCCGATCAGACCCGATCGTTGGCCAGGCTGAAGGATCCCACCTGTGCACAAATTTGTGCCCCGGGCCTCTAGTTTACTGTAATATCAAATTCATTAGTCCTCTGAATTACAGAGGGTGGGGGGAAGATCATGATTCATAGAATCACTATAGCAACACTAAAACAGATGACCTGGAAAGGATTGGTAATTCTAAGAAAACCCTGAAAGCTCATCTTGAACTCTCATCTTTCTTCCATTCTTTCATGCAACATTACTGTGACCACTTAATGTTAAGTAGATGTAAAAAGTTTTTATCTGATATTTTAAAGGTGGATTATTTGAATAGATTTGAATATTTAGCTAAAATGGTTTATCTAACATTGGGTATTGATCAAAATGCTATCATTATATTTCCTAAAAGATTATTCCTAATCCATAAAAGAAAATTACGTTTTTCTCTCAAAGTTTTTATTTTTTTACTTAAAAATTTTTTAATTTTTTGAAAAATTGTTGACCATATTACAGATGTCTCCCATTTCCCACCTCCACCCAGCCCTCGTCCACACCTTCTCTCTGGCCATCACTACACTGTTGTCTGTGTCTGTGGATGTATGTATATATATATATATATATATATATATATTTTTTTTTTTTTTTTGCAAATCCTTTCACCTTCTTTCATTCAACATTTTCCCCTTAAACCTTCTTAAGTGAAGCTTTTTAAGTTTATATTTATTGGAAACATGCACCTAATTCAGGATTTTTTTAATTTTAATTTTTTAGTTTAAATGAAGTGCCTGGTCACTTTACCTTATGGAGATATCCTGGAGAGTCTACTTTTCTCAAGATAGAAAATAATGACTTATGAAAAGGAGGAAACAGCTTTCTGTTCTGATTAACTCTAGGTTTTTGGTTTTTTTGTGGTGTTTTGTTGTTTTAAGTACTAGCAAATCATATCTTGGTGAGAAAGTTTGGACTATAATTCTACTTACCATGATGGTTAATTCATCGATCATTACAAGTCTTATTATAGTCAACACTGCTTTTCTACTATATTAATTAAATTATCCTAAATTTTAAAATTTTTATTCAGAATCATTTTTGAAATCAGTTGATTCTGCTGTGATGTCCTTGGAAGCTATTACATATATACTAGAAGCCCGATGCACGAAATTCTTATAAGGGCCTTGGTGCCAGCCGCCACCATGGCCGGGGGGCCTCTGACACCTCTGCCTTGCCACCCCTCCCGCCCCCCCACTGTGGCTTTATCCGGAAGGATGTCCAATCTAATTAGCATATTACGCTTTTATTATTATAGATAGCTAGTGTGTTACTCCTGTGTCCCCTAAGGATTTTTAGCCTGTACTTATAGATTCCTGTCTTTACTTATTTTCAGCCATCATTTCTTAACATCTCCTCGCTTGTTCCCTTGCTCTGAAACTTTGGTCAGAACTGGATGCTAAATTAGTTCTGTACTTCAAATCAGTAGGCCCTTCTTGAGGATGACTCCTCTATTGCTTTCAGTGATTCATGGGTTTTTGACGAACTTTTTTATGGTTGCTTTTAGGCCTTTTCTCTTGTGACTCAGTAATTGAGAGTATTGTCATAATTGTAAGATTTGTTAAATTTTGGGCCATTCTTCTAATTCAAGATAATACTTTTTTTTCTCTTTCTGCCCTCTGTGATAAGGAATCACATTGGGTTTTAAGAGATATGTGTCTAATAAAACTTACACTGTTTTGTCATATAATATCCACTGACTCTTGATGGGTAATAAAATATTTTTAAGGTTTATGTCAGTGTGACAATGGTGTTTTTCTAAAATAAGTTTAAATATGTATTTGAGAATGATGTCTGACTTTTTGAAACTTACGTTTTTCAAAAAATTTTTAGGATGGATTAAGAGTTTCAGATTGTTTTTATTCTGTTAAATAAACATTGTTATTATTTTAGATTAGTTTCTTCAGTCATATCCTGAAGTTATTGAATATGGTGAGCCACTAAATACCATTTTTCTTAATAACATACCTAACTGATTTCTAATTAAAGTCTAATTTAAAATATTATGTCTTTATAGTATTTGGTCTGAGAAGGAAGTTTTTATAGAAGCTAGGTAAGATGATTTCACTAGGAATACTGGAGTTTTATATTTGTGGTTTTAGGCCACAAATAATTGACCACCTGGCTACATACAGGTTTTTTGATCATATAATAATGTGATCCAGAGCAAGGTGATTTGGGGGTTGGTTAAAATAGTAATGTCAGAGCTCTGGGTGAGATTGTCTATGAGACTCTCAGCTCTCTCCTCATGTTAAAGAGATGAATGTTGCATCCTGTACTCATGACAACAGTAATGAGACCAAAGAAAGTGGAAAGGGGACTCTCCCTATACATTTTCTTTCTTTAATCAAGCCAAAACATCTTTTTCAGAATCCCCACAACACTTCCCCCAAGGTTCCATTAGTTACAAGCCCACTCTGAACCATTCCACCAGCAAAGGTAGACGGGGATTAGCTTTTTGCTTAGATCAGTCATTGTTCGTTGCCTGGTTCATCTGCTGAGGTGAGAACGGGCTTATCATCACTGATTATATTCCATATCTGGAGAAAAACAGCACTTTCATAGGAAGGAATAAAGGGAAATAGTTGTTTGGATAGGGAACCTAATAGAAGACTTTTAATGACTTTCAATTTGGATAGCTACTTGGATGTGGAAGAAGCACTGTAAACCAAAATGGTGAAACAGTCAAAAAAAATTTAAAGGCAGAATGGTATATATAGTGTAAAGAACAATTGAAATAAAACTTTAAAGACTTGTATCTTCCTAGTCTTATTAGCTGTATTACTTGAGTAAATCCATTTAACTTCTTTAAGACTCACTTTTCCTTTGTTGTAAAATGTGTGTGATTACATTAATGACCTTCTGGATGTTAATAATAATAATAAAATGCCTTTCCCTAGGATCTATTAGAATTTAATGCCATGTTGTGGAGCCCAAATAATTTAATTTTCTCATAAAGTCAGATTAAAAGTCTGACTTTATGAGAAAATTATTTTCTACAAGTAGAAATTTTTTTCTCTATCCAGAGTGATATAAATTGGTGTTAATTGTAGAATTTTATTTCAGTGACAATTACATGCCTAAGCCTTTTTATGTTACTTGATTTAATTCACAAAAGAATCTTGTAAAGTTGGTAGGTTAACATTTTCATTCCACCAATAGGTGATAAAACTGAAACTCAGAAAAGTTAAATGTCCTTAGGATCAGTAAGGATAGCAGAACAGGAATTTGAACCCATGTCAGACTTGACAGTAACTGGGGAATAAAAAAGTAAATTGGAGAGAGGAATATTTTTCCTTTTGTCAGATAGTGTCATAAAGCAATAATGGTTCAAAAATGGATTTTTTCCTAAAAGTTATGTTCATGTTCTATGGACTTCTACCTTGTAATACAAATGTGATTCTAATTTTCATAATGCCCGACTTTAGCATTGCAAATGAGTGAATTCACAAACTTCCCTTAGTGCATTATTTTTTAGCTGGGTAAAAATGTCATTCAAAGTAATATCAAACTGGGGTTAATTATAATCCAGCCCACACGATTTTTTGTGTTTAAAACAGAGAAAGGCTTAGATTATAAGTGACCCTTTTAAAACTCAAAGACAGTTGATTTAAGAGCTAGTCAGTAGATCCTGCCTGTATTATCTGACAATATTTTTGAAAATGCTACCTTTAAATGTACAATGTCATTCAAAATATTTTGGGATTGGTTTTGCCAAAGTAGTCTTCTAAATTATTAACATCTAAACTTTTAAAAATAACTTACTGGGATTATTGAAGTGATGTTGATTTTACTTTTTCATATGAAGTGCTTGGCAAATATAAACATACATGTATACATGTATGTATATGTACATCACACAGGCAGATATTATGTTTTATTGTAGCAATATTGTTGGCAGTTAACACAAAGTAGTAAACCATGAATTTACACAGGTTGCCTGAAT